ATATATTTAAAAGTATTTATAATGGTAAAAACTTAGATAAAATAAGTATAAGATTTAAAATAGTTGTCCTCTGGGCATGGTGGCACATGCCTGTAGTCCCAGCACTTGGGAGGCAGAAGCAGGCAGATCTCTGTGTGTTCGAGGCCAACCTGGTCTACATAGTGAATTCCAGGTCAGCTGGGGCTATAGGGAGACCCTGTTTCAAAAAGACCAAAGGGGAGAAAATAATTGTCCTTAGAAGCTATGCATGCTACCAGAAGGAAAAAATAATCATCACCCTTATCTATCTGTGAATCTTGTGAACTACAACAACTGGCCTGGCAAGATAAGCCCACCAATGCAATAATGGCTTGAATATTATGGACGTAACCAACCACTCTCTAGTTGGATTTAAGGTCTGCTTCATAGTCTGGAGCCCATGCCTGATATTGCTATCAGGCTTAAGAATCTGAGGCTAGACAGCTTGTAGGACATAGGGTGTGTGTGTGTGCTGGGGGGGGTTAATACTAGGTGTTTACTAATAGTTATCAATTAAATTCACTCCTAATGACTTAATTTACCCATAGATTAAGGCATCTCTCAACTCTCACCAGAGAAGTTTCCTTATGCAGCAGATGGCAGTTAGCACAGAAACCTACAACTGGCCAATGTGCTGAGAACAAGAGAACAGGTTGCAGATTGCTTATCCCTGAATAGGACATTTATATCAAACTTCTGCCTCTCAAGGCTCAGAGATCATTGCAGAAGATGGGGCGGAAAGATTGTGAGAGTCTGGGGTGGTAGATGATCACAAGAAAACAGAGTTTTCTGGACAGCTGGTCAGTTACCCGTATGAACTCCCAGCAGTGGTGACAGCATGCACAAATCCCACGTAAGCTCAAACCACACAAAATCCCAGCATAAACATGGGGCAGTAGTTAAGAAACCCCAATCTAACCTAAGGAACTTTTGGCAACTAATAGCTGCTAAGAGGGGGAGAGACAGTCCTCCTTCTCAAGCCCTGTCTTGGTAGGGTGACCAGACTCCAGAGGATGGACTCACACTGAAGGACATTTGGGGACATAAATTAAGACTCTATAGGCCTTATTATATATATCTATATATAACTGAGTACATTAGTTTGGGTGTGGGGCAATAAGGGGAGGTGAGGATAGAGGACGGGATCTAAATACCATCAAATTATATTGTATGAAAATTGCAAAACTTCAATGTAAAAATAAAATAAACAAAATAGGAAAGAGTCTGTTAAATTGGGCTGGGGGGAAGGGGAAGGTGTGAATAGGAGAGGGGATGTAAATACCATCAAATTATATTGTGTGAAAATTGCAAAAATTCAATAAAAAATGTAAAAAAATTATTCCTTTTCCTAAGACAACCACTGTTTTTATCTATTTTTTAAAAATTATTTGTGTAGATACATATTTTACTAACCAAGGTAAGGTTTGCTCTACAATTTCATTTTTTTTTCTTTTGAGACAGAATCTTTTGATGTAGTTCAGGCTGGCCTCAAACTCTATCCTCCTGCCTTAACCAGGAATGTTGAGATGACAGGTGTGAGTCACCATGTCTGACTTTTTAAAAAAATTGATAGTTCTTAGAGGTTTGTTTAATAGTAGGTGGATGCTATCTGTATTAGTTATTTTTCTGTTGCTGTGCTAGAACACCATGATCAAGAGAACTTATAAAAGGAAGAGTTTATTTGAGCTTATGATTCCAAGGGAATTAAGAATCTGTCATGGCAGGAGGCATGGTGGCAAAGGTGGCTGGAGTAGGAGCAGAAGCTAAATGCTCACATCTTCAAGCAGGCACAGGAAGCAGAGCAGGACTGGAGATCAGGCAAGGCTTAAGAATCTCTAACACCTCCCTCCCAGTAACATGCTTCCTCCAAGGCCACACCTTCTCTGATCTCCCAAAACAGTGCCACCAATTGGGAACAAAGTGTTCAAATACTTAGAGCCTATAGAGAACATTCTCATCCCAATCGACCACTATCCCATTTTTCTTTAGCAATTCTCCTATTAAGGGATTTATTAAATTGTCAGGATTTTTTGTTTGTTTGTTTTTAACAAGATCTCCTTTCAGGGGATGGGGGGCTCTTTTTGAGACAGGGTCTCCCTGTAGCCCAAGCTGACCTGGAACTTGCTATATAGACCAGGCAGGCCTCAAACTCACAGAGATCCACCTGCCTCTGCCTCCCAAGTGCTGGGATTAAAGGTGTGCGCCACTATGCCTGGCCCAAATGTGTAGCCCAGGCTGGCCTCGAATTCATGATCCTCCTGCCTCTGCCTCTTCAGTATATCCTACTGGCAAGCACCACCAGAACTGGCTCAACAAGATCTCTGTGTAGACCAAGCTGTCCTTGAAGTCATGATCCTCTTGCCTCAGCATCAGGGATGGGCAGTTACAGTGAGCTTGAATTTTTTTTTTTTCAATTTACTCAATCTTTACTGATTTTTATATAAGATTTTTTGGGGGGTATTTCTTTAGGAAGAATGTATTTCTGAGATAAAGTGATAGTGTTTATACTTTTGATTGTATTGATACCAAATGGTTCATAAAAGCTATACCCTTTTACGTTAACATACTGTATTATAGGAGTAGTTTGCTTGTATCCTTGAGTAAGCAGCATCATCATGTTTTAATAATTGCGTACATTTGTTTTGAGACAGGGTTTCCCTCTGTAATTCAGGCTGTCTTGGTAGCTTAATCTACTCAGCTATGTAGATTAAGATGGTCCTAAACCCATAATGATCCTCTTCTTCCAAGTGCTAGGAGTACAGGTATGCGCCAGTACACCTGGATCACATGGTATTTTATTACAGTAAATAGTACTAAATAGATGTTATGAACATTGATTTATCATCAGTTACAATGATACTATTTTAGTATTAGTAATTGACAGGATGCTAGATATATCAAATTCTACTGTTCCTAAAAACAGCCTTTCTTTACCCACCTTGCTGACTATCTCCATGCCATGTCTCTGCTTGTCTTTGTAACAGGGCCTGAAACTGTCCCGTGTCTCACTGCTCATTTTTTCTTTTCCCCATTCTTAAACTCATTCTATTTAGACTTCCCTAACCCTTGAAACTGCATATGTCATTTAGTTAATTCTAAGTGGTCTTCACTTTGCTAAATATAATGGTCAGATCTCATTTTTCATCTTACCGGACTTATTAGACACATTTGATATACATTTTCCACTTGGTTTCCAGGCTACTACATTCTTAGGCCTTATCCTGCTTAGCTAGTCCCTCCTTAGGCACTCTTGGTGTTTCTTATCAAGTGAATTAATAAATGAAGTGTTCCAGGGCTGTTTGTAGCACTCTTCTTTTCTAATTCTCTTACTTGGTCACATCCAGCCTCATTATGTTAAATGCTATCTATACATAGATGACTTCTAATTATTCTCTTTATCCGTACTACTGTTATGAGCTCTGAGGACTCAGATCCAAATGCCTGTTTGATTCAGGAGATTAAAAACACATGCTGTCTTCTCTAGCTACAACACCCATTGATGGTAACTCCAGTGGCCCTAAACAAAACTTTGGATTCATCTTGACTCATTGCTTTTTCTTGCATCTCACATCCAATCTGTCAGAAATCTTTCAATCCTTGTTTTTGTTTTTTCTTGGGTGGCACAGGATCTCACTTTGTAGTTCAAGATGACCTCAAAATCTTGTTTTAGCCTCCTAAATGCTACGATTACAAGTGTATGCTGTCATACCCAGCTCTTAGGAATCCTTAATGGCCATTCAGCATAAACACAGAAACCAGCTAGATAGTAGGACGCTCATGTGAGACACCATTATATTTATCCTTCGAACCCCTGATTACCAGATTACTACAGCAGCCTCCTAAGTGGTCACCTCACTTATATTACTGCGGATGACCACAGTAAGGGTGGTCTTTGTAAAATGTCAGGCAATGGTAGGTTACTGCTCCATTCCCATGGCCCTCGCCCAGAATGAAACTCCAAGTGTACAGTAATCTACTAGGACTTCCGTGAACTGGCTTATTCCACCTCTCTGACCTCTTTTTGTTTACTGGTTTGATTTGGTTTTTTGAGATGGCATTGCTATGTAGCCAAGGTTGACTATGAACTCTAGATCCTCCTATCTCAGCTTCCCAATGGGATTATAGGTGTGCACCACCATCCCTGCCCAGCATTTTAAACTACTACATAACTTACAATTTTTGTTTATTGCTACTGCCTGGTTCTCCTCAGTAGAATTCCAGTGTTGGGCAGTATTTCACTGTTTTGTTGTTCCTAGAGTCTTAGAATATTGCATGGAATGTGGTAGGTACACAGTAAATATTTGTTGAATTAATGAATTCTGTGAAAGGAGATAACATTTTATATGTGTATATGTGTGTGGTGTAAGTGTACATGTGGGGTGGGGGGATGTTCATGTCTATGCACATACATGTAGAGACCAGAGGAGGGTGTTTAATGTCTGCTCTATTGCTCTTGACTTTATTCCTTTGAGGTAGAGTCTCTCACTGAGCCTGGATCTAGGCTGACGGCCAGTAAGCACCATTAATCTTCCTGTTATCCCTCTAGTTACAGGCACATGTGCTGTGCTGTGCTAAGCTGTGCCATGCCCAGCTTTTTACATGAGTGCTGGAGTTCTCAACTCAGGTCCTCATGTGTGTGCAGCAAATACTTTTATCATTTGAGCCATCTCCCTAGCCCCTTGCCTTTAAATTTTAGAGTTTTATGGTTTAAAGGAGAAAATTTTTGAGACAAGGTCTTACCATGTAGCCCTGGCTAGCTTGGAACTTGTGTGGACCAGTCTGGTCTCGAGCTCACAGAGATCTGCCTGCCTCTGCCACCTGAGTTCGGCCTCCTTAGGACTGGAAGTAAAGATGTGTGCTACCATGCCTAGCAGGTTTAAAAAATTTTATAATATGAATGTAAGAAAATTGTACTACATGAAAGTTTTGAATTGCAGCTTTTCTTATATTTCAAGTTTCAGATACGCTTTCTAAATTTTCAGCTTCACTTGTGGAAGGTCAAAAGGGTATCATTCCTCGAGCTATCCAAGAAATATTTCAAAGCATCTCTGAAAATCCTGGCATTGACTTTAATATAAAAGTGTCATATATAGAAGTATACAAGGAAGACCTAAGAGATCTTCTAGAATTGGAGACTTCCATGAAGGACCTTCATATCCGAGAAGACGAAAAAGGAAATACAGGTGAGGTAGCCCACTTAAGTTGATTGCCTACAACTAGCATACAAAACTCAGCTCAATTCCAAGTGATTAAAAAAAATAAGCAAATAAGTTTGTTTTTATTTTTTAATTATTTATATTTTTGCCATGCTGGAAATTGATCCCATGCTAGGTAGGCAACTGTACCACTGGATGACATCATCACCCTCTTTTGTTTTTAAATGTTTAAAAAGTTTTTAAATTTTTGGACAGAGTCTCACTAAGTTGGTTATGCTGGTTTGAACACATTTTGCCTCCCAGGCTGGCCTTGTACTTTTAATTATTCTGCCCCAGTCTCTTGAGTAGCTGGGATTACAGGTCTGTACCATCAAGGGCTGTCTCCTGTTTTCTTGTAATTAGTCACAAATCAGAATATTGAAACAAAGGGTTCTTTCTGGCTTTTACTCCTTGGTTCTGAGATTGAACGCAGGGCCTCACGCACACTTGCACATACTCTACTCTGAGCTACAACCCCACCCCAAGAGTTTTTGCTTGTCAGTCATTTTAAAGAAATATGTTTACTTAAAAAACAACTGCGTTTGATGGGCTCAGCGGTTAAGAGCACTGTCTGTTTTTGCAGAAGACCTGGGTTCAGATCCCAGCACCCACATGGCAGCTAGCAACTGTCCATAACTCCAGTTCCAGGGGACCAGATTCCCTCTTCTGTTCTCCCTAGACTCTGTACAACACGGGTGCACTTACATACATGCAGGCATAACATACATTCACATAAAATAATAAATAAAAACTACAACTGGGTTTAGTAAATTGTATCTTTTAGAGTTTAAATATGGGTATTATGGATTAAAATAGTTCCTTTTGGCACTTTTCTAAAACTACTTAATGATGCTGACTGATGTTAGTATTGCTATTGATTTTTTTTTAAAGGAACTATCTTTGGATTTCTTAGCAATGGATAACTGTTGTGTGAATAACTGTACTGCATTTTGATGAAAATTTGGTTTTAAAACTTTGTATTGCTATTTTAAGTGATTGTTGGAGCCAAGGAATGCCAAGTAGAGAGCATGGATGAAGTGATGAGTCTTCTAGAGGTAGGGAATGCGGCCAGACATACAAGCACCACCCAGATGAATGAATACTCCAGTAGATCACATGCAATTTTTACAATAAATGTCTGTCAAGTTGAGAAAAATGCAGAGGCACCTGAAGGTGGAGAGTGGTATTCACGTCAGCACATTGTCTCCAAATTCCATTTTGTGGATTTGGCTGGATCAGAAAGAGTGACTAAAACAGGGAATACAGGGGAACGGTTCAAAGAGTCCATTCAGATCAACAGTGGGTTACTTGCTTTAGGAAACGTAATACGTGCCCTTGGGGACCCACGCAGAAAGAGCTCACATATTCCATATAGGGATGCTAAAATTACCCGGCTTCTGAAAGATTCCCTAGGAGGCAGTGCCAAGACTGTGATGATCACGTGTGTCAGCCCATCCTCCTCAGATTTTGATGAGTCCTTAAATTCTCTCAAATATGCTAACAGAGCACGGAACATTAGAAATAAACCCACTTTAAACTTCAGCCCTGAGTCAGACCGAATGGATGAAATGGAATTTGAAATTAAGTTGCTTCGAGAAGCTTTGCAGAGCCATCAGGCTACTATCAGCCAAACTAGCCAGGTCCCTTCAGAAGGCACTCCTGATCAAAATAGGATCCATTCTCTTGAGGAACAGGTATCTCAGCTCCAAGAGGAATGTCTAGGCTACCAAAATTGTATAGAGGAAGCTTTTACTTTCCTGGTAGACTTAAAAGATGCTGTCAGACTAAACCAGAAGCAGCAGCACAAACTGCAAGAATGGTTCAGCATGACTCAAGAGGTCAGGAAGGCTGTCCACACCTCATGCCCAGGAAACCAAGGCCCTGGAAACCTGGAAGAAGGACCACAGCATGTTACAGTTCTCCAGATGAAGAGAGAACTTAAGAAATACCAGGTACTTAGACATTAATTAATTAATATATATATTTGAAGCTGTGTCTTACTATGTAGCCCTGGCTGGCCTGGAACTCATTCTGTTGACCAACCAGGCTGGCCTGAGACTTGCAGCCATCCTCCTTCCTTTGCTTCCTGAATGCTGGGGCTACAGGAGTGTGCCACCACATTGGATTAATAAAAGTCCCCTCTTGGTAATGGGGATTGAACAAACAGCATTGTATGTCCTTGAGAATACTCCATCATTCAGGTATATCCCCAAATTTATTTTATTTTTTTGAAAGAAGGTCTTATTCTATTGTCCAGGCTTTCCTGGAAGTCATTATATACCTAGGCTGGCCTTAAACTTAACAGAAGTGTTCCCAAGTGCTGGGATTATAGGTGTGTGCTATCACACCTGGCTCATAGCCATCACTTTTATAAGTTAAATTGTTTAAGGACCTCATCTATTTGGGTAAGTATATTTTAAATGTCATTTTGGAATTTCAGAAGTTTTTGAAATTTTAACTTATTATTGTATGTGTGAGTGAGTGCAGGTGTATACAAGTGGTCAGAGGACAATTTTGGGGAGTCGGGTCTGCACTTTCACCGTGGGGTTTGTGAAATCAAACTTAGGCTGTCAAGATTTCATAGCTAGCAACTTTGCCCCCTCTGAGCCATCTCACGGATCCAAGATCTTTTCTTTTTTTCTTAAAAAAAGGAATTATATGTAAAATCTTATTTTCAGTTCCTTTACTTTGTTTCTTCCCTCTTTTTTCCTCTTCTTACATAATTTACCTTTGTTAGTTCCCCCTCTCTCCTGTGATTATACATTTTAATGGCCTTTATAGCAATTTGGAGAATTAGACATTTTTCAGAAACAAAATTGAGTTATATTTCATTGATTTTTCCCCCCTTTGTGTGTGTGTGTGTGTGTGTATGTGTGTATGCCTCAGGGAGTGTGTGGAGGTCAGAGAAAGCTGGTGGGGATTTTTTTTCTCTCCTTCCACCATGTAGATCCTAGGAATTGAACACAAGTTGTTAGGCTTGGTGGCAGGCACCTTTACTCACTGAGCCATCTCTCTGGCCTGGTTTGTTGTTTGTTTGTTTTGTTTTAATGAAGATTGTATATGGGAGCCAGTAGAGAAGAGTTGGTTCTGCTTTTGTGAAGTTTGCAAGCAAAATCCAGGGAGATGGGCCCTTACTTGTTCCTTAAGTAACATGGTACCCAATTTCCGTGGTACTGCTATTTGTTTTTTTTAAATGTTTTTTTTTTTTTTTTTGAGACAGGATCTCATGTAACACAGGATCTCATGTAACGCAACACATATGTTGCTAAGGATTGATCCTCCTACCTCCACCTCTCAAATACTGGGATTACAGGCATGTGCCACTATGTCCACTAACTTTTTTAAAAGACAGGAAAACAGCTAATCAAAAATGTACTGTTTCAGTTATAAACACAGCTAAATTATCTCTTCTCGGACTTTTTGAATGCAGAGCTTATTTATACTTTCAAAGTTGAAATGTCCCCAAAGAACTTTCAAAACATGGCTTGAGTATGAGGCTCAGTGACACAACATGTTTCTTACATTCATGAGGCTTTGGGGTTTGATTTCCATTAGTGGGGAAAAATTAGAACTGCTTTACCTTTTGTTAAGTCTCTTTGATATCTGGCTTAGTAGAAGATATTTGGGTATTCTTATGTGCTTTAGCAAGATCTCGTTGAAGCTATAAAGAAAATAAATCTTCATATAGATTTATAGTTAGAAGGGAGGTATTTTTCAGTGACTTTTGAAATAATTACAGATATTATACTATGGGGTGCGCAGGGATCTCGGGGCGCCAGCTGCTAGTGTGGCGCCGGTCTCCTGCATGCACCTGGGAAGCGGCGGGTCCCGCGCGCGTCTGCTCCGCGTTGCTGGCAGGTCTCTGCTTCTCTGGTCTCTGTGGGTCTCTGCTACTGAGGCTGGCCCGGTCGAGTTCCGCCCCAATTTCACCCGTGCACTCTCTCTCTAAGTTCAGGGCCCGTCAGCTGCCGGGTCACGAGGAGAGGTGCGGGGCGGCTAAAGCTGGATTTCCGTGAGTCAATGATGGAAGGATAGCGCCCCCCCCCCGGGGGGAGACTGGATCACAGGATTTAGTGTTACAGCTTCAGACAAGTGACTCAGCTCAGATCTCAGTGATTCAGCTCCAGCTCCAGCTTTATTGGGGTAAAACTAGGACTATTTATAGTGTGGAGACAGCAGAAGAAGCCTTAGCTGATAGGTACTTTTAGGATGCCTCATTTACATAGGGCGGTGGGCTTCTATCAGGCTATCAGACAACGCCTGATTAAAACCTGGTAGCTCCTGTGCCAGAGAACATGTATCTTGTGACGGGCACTTCAAAAGTAAGTCAGGGAGGAGAGCAGAAGGCGCCCTGCTGAGAAGAGGAGTCTCCCCATTCGTGCCAAGCCAGCTTGTGGCTATCCGGACATGGGGAGACTTCTACCCTAAACAGCAGGGGTCCCCAACATCTCCCCCTGTTTAATTTAAATATGGAGAAGTGCCATCACCAGCCCCAAGGGCCAACTCATCTGTCTCAGGAGAATCCAAGTCTGATAATTGACCATGACCTGTTTTGTAGCAATTTTCAGCAATGGCGGTAATTTGTTGGTGAAGAAATCTTATAAAACAGTGAGCAAGCATCACACAGCATGACCAGGGGGCTAACAAAGGGTAGGAGCCATGCAAACAAGGGATTACTAAGCCAACCTAATTGTTTGGTGGGCTGAAATTTTGAAAATGCATCATTACAAAGTTTTTTTGATAGTGTTAACATCGGTTTCAAAAACATTTGATTCATTTACAAAGAAACAGCATTCCTTTCCCAATACCACACACATCCCCCCATGTTCAGCAGTTATTAAACCCAGTGCTCTTCTGTTTTGGAGCACAACCCCGGCAAGAGAGTTCATTTGTCATTGGAGAGATTCGAGGTTGTCAGTTGTGGATGCCATTGCCTGGTCCAGCTTGTCTAGAAAGTCTTCTGCCAGGTGATGGGTTTGTACAATAGCAGCAGCTGCAGTGCCTCCAGCACCCAGGGAGAGGGCAAGTCCGAGCCCTACTAGCAAAAGGATGAAGATTTCTCTCTGCTGGCAGCTGTAAAGGAGGAGGGCAGCTTCCTCTTTCTCGAGTAGGCACACCTGGGGTGTAATCATTACCGATATACAAAAGGTGGACAAAGAGGAGTTAACACAGTGCTTGGCTTTTCCTTTGCACCATAGGAAAAGAGGAGGGGTGACACATGCTATGCTGGAGAGAGTAATGTTAGTGAGGCATTTGTAATGAGTAGGCTTACTCTTGCTGGAAATACAAATTGGATAGTTAGCCAGTTGTTCGAATAAGGGAATATCCATTAGATGAGAGTCAGTGAAATCTTTTTTT